TGTCAGAATTACCTGGGACCACGAGCCAGGAGCATATCCCTACACAGTTGAGATATGTAAGTCACTGACTTGAGAATCTTTGCAGCTTGGACTCTTGGCTACCATACTAGGTCAACAACAGTTTGCCCGCTTTGGAACACGCGGTATTTATCATCAATCTGGTGTTGGTATCATCAGAGAACGTAACACCATGTATATGAACCAGTTGGGCATACTTGGAGAAGCTTGAATGCTGCGCGACTTTTCAAGCCTTGGACTACAGCTTCTTTTGTGAAGTGATCCTTGAGCTGGCGGGCCTGCCATCTCTTCGAGGACGAGTGTCTTTTAAAAGTGAGGTGGCAAACCAAACGACAGCTTCGTGAAATACGTGAGATGGAAGGAATATACATAATGGAAGTCCTCTCTCTTTTCTTAGGGTACAGCCAGATTATTGTGAGCCGTATGCACGGGGCATGTTGTGATACACGACTAGGACTTATTTGAAAAGTACGGAGTAGTTGTTGGATTCGAGGTTAGGTTTTTCCTCTCCGTCAATTCAAGCATTGCCGGAGCGGGCGGGCTCCGGGCAATGATTTAGAATCACCCAAATCAATGTCTTCGATTTCAAGATACTGGAGCACCCGATTTGTTTTCTCTGCCCTCCATTCCCCTGTCTCTTACTTACACTCGGCTCTACAGTATCTTTATCTGATGCCCTTCGATATACAAAACTTGCTCTCGGCGACCGTTCAAGCTTGTTGTTGATACGTGTGAGATATCGTACCTAGCACACAGCTTACTTAGATAATAATAGTCAGGACAGTCAAGTACCCTAATGTTACCTACCTTTATCTAATATTTACTTTGATAGTCCGTAGATGAGAGTTCATTATTCTCTTCTAGGGTATTTACACTTTCCGACAATACTTACGTGGTGGTAATGTTCAAAACTGTATCATACCCGTGATAATTACTCGTCAGTAACTATCGGACGGTAATCTGTGGGTAAGTATATATGACCACGCCAGAGTACCTGGAGTAAATAGTAACTTACAGTACATACTCAAGTAGTAGTGGACACCTATCAAATATGCCGCTGTGGTGCCTCCTGCACCTTAATTGACTACTAAGGCCATAGCTTAGGTTGGCTAACTACCCAGTCCACAACCACCTACCTAAGTGATCACTTACACCTGTTCTAAACGATACTCACCCTATTCCAATGGCTGTTGCGAGTCGCTAAACTACTTCTTTTTGCCCAACATTTCCACCAAGCACCCAATTGGCATGCAAACATGAAGCTTTTGAACTTTCTGGTCCCGTTCCTCGCCATACTTCCCCATGGCCTCTGTGCCAATTCTGATACAGACAAGTACGAGAAATATCGCTCACTCGCGAGATCTGCGCCTATTGATCTTGATGACTCTTCCTACGAAGATTTAACATCGAAACCTCGTGATTATCATGTTGCCGTGTTGTTGACTGCTACTGAAGCTCGTTTCGGATGCATTCTATGTCGTGAGTTCCAACCCGAATGGGACCTCATCGCGCGCAGTTGGAACAAAGGTCCTACACCCAATGACTTGAAAGTGCTTTATGCTACCCTTGAATTCACCAATGGCAAAGAAACATTCCAGAAAGTAAGATGAATACTACCGTCCTTGCGAGAACATGACCTCGAGGCTAATATGTAGAAGCTCATGCTTCAAACCGCACCGGTTCTGCTTGTGTTTCCTCCGACGGTCGGCCCTTTCTCCAAGGTCGACGATGCGCCCTTACGTTTTGACTTCAGCGGGTGAGGCACGGTTTCTGTGGGAATATGGGTAACCTTCGCTAACATGATGTGCTCTGCAGTCCTATCTCGGCTGATCAGCTTTATACATGGATCTCCCGTCATCTTCCCAATGGTCCAAAACCTCCTCTTGTTCGCCCGATCAATTACATGCGCATAATCTCGGGCGTGACTATCTTGATGGGTGTAGTGACTCTTTTCACCGTGCTTTCACCCTACGTGTATCCTGTGGTGCAGAATCGAAACCTCTGGGCCGCCATGAGCCTTATCGCGATTCTCTTATTTATAAGTGGCCACATGTTTAACCATATTCGCAAAGTACCATATGTCGCCGGGGATGGAAGGGGTGGAATCAGCTACTTTGCTGGAGGGTTCTCAAATCAATTCGGCATGGAAACACAAATTATAGCTGCTATTTGTAGGTTTCTGGTTTGACTAAACATGTGATTGTGCTAATCATTCTATTTTACAGACGCCATCCTCTCCTTTGCAACAATTGCTCTGGCAATGAAAGTTCCCCGTATCGCCGATAACAAAACACAGCAGGTGGCAGTGATCATCTGGGGTTCTGTTCTGCTTGGCATGTACAGCTTTCTTCTCAGTGTTTTCAAGGTGAAAAATGGCGGTTACCCTTTCTTCCTCCCGCCTTTCTAGATGAGCACCGTGTCATGAGATGGGTGTGTAAGTGCATATCTGGGGTGAAGGCAGGGGATTGGCAAGAGGCCAGATGAGGGGATTCCGCGGAAGGTAGTTTGTGCATACCATATCCGTGGTGTATCAGTCTATTTGTCATGACACGTGTATTGGCGAGTGTGCATTGGCATAGATTCGAGTCAGAGTACTGCAGCTGGCATTAAAGTAATGCATTTCATGTGTGCGTTTCCGCTATGGAATCGATATCTGAGACCAACTCAAGCGGCTACGAGTACATACTCTCTTTTTCTTTGTTCAACTCCGCGCGATTATCAGGACTCCGCGAGAAAGGAGGGGGGCGGGGGTGGGACTCTCCACAAAACTGCACTTTTACATAGTAGTCTTGTTCAAGCGGGGACTCGCGGGTTGCTACACAGTATGTTCAGTAGTTTGTCCTACAAACAGTACACACTGCATACAGACCCGTGACTATGTATCCATGATATACCTTCGAGGTTGAAGTAGTGTAAATGGCTGACCAATAAGGGGCGGTGGGAGAAAGACCGGCGGACTAGCGCAAGTGGAGTGGATTACCTCGGTGTTTATCTAGGTAGTAGATTATGAACCCGTGGTCTTCTTCTTCTTCTGTGAACTTAACCTTACCCACAATCCAGCCTATCAGTCGTCATTTTTTTCGTATCAGCATGCCATCGCCGGATGATGAAGCTAGCTCTTTGCTAGCGTCACCAGCTTCTGGTACAACGCTTCTGGTCCTCGTTCAATTGACCTCAAAGATATTCACTTTTACGGCAAATCAGTTGATCTTGAGAGATCTACCACCAGCTTTTCTAGGAGTTGCAGCCCAGCTGGACCTATACTCCATTACACTGCTGTTTTTTTCTCGGGAAAGTATCAGACTGGCGATTCAAAGGCAACCGCTTGTTACCTCTGTTTCCTCGGATTCAAGTAGTCATGGTAAAGCCGCAATTGACAACAAATTCAGCGCAACTAAACAACCAAGAACCCAAGAAGTGGAATCACAGTCCGTGGTCAATATGTCCTACTTGAGTCTGGGAATGGGACTTCTCTTAGCCATGATACTCGGTACCTCTTACATTCGTCTTGCCTCGGATGAAGTTTCTCAAACACCGTCTTATCACCAAAGTGTGAAAATAATTACCATCGCATCTCTAATAGAACTTGCAAGCGAGCCATGTTTTAACGTGATGCAGAGGTATATGCTGTACAGGCAACGTGCACTTGTTGAGATGAGTGCTGCATTCATGAAAAGCTTGGTAACTTGTTTTGTTTTCCTGTGGGCTGCCTACTATAATATCACCGTTGGTGTTCTGCCGTTTGCACTCGGACACTTGAGCTATGCATGTGCACTTCTTTGTGGTTATTTTATAGCTATCAGAAAGATGCCAAGGCATCCAGACTTCTCTTTGCTGCTCACAAGATTGCAGTCGCGGTAAGTGTGCCTGCCTGGATTTGTGTATTAGGACACCACCTGATAGGACCCCCAGTGATCGCCACAGCTATGTGGCTAACAAATTCCCATGGCCAATGATCTCATTGGCTGCAAGTTTGTTTCTTCAGTCCATCGTCAAACATCTACTCACGCAAGGGGATTCAATGATCCTAGCGACAATGACAAGCCTAGAAGATCAGGGCATCTATGCCCTCGCCTCAAACTATGGTGGTCTCGTGGCCCGCATACTTTTTCAGCCCATTGAAGAAAGTAGTCGGGCCATCTTCTCATCACTGCTTCATAGCAACTACCTTGAAAAGCGACGCACGGGGAATGTCAGTCGCGCCAAAACACATCTAGCCGACATCCTGCGCGCCTACAGTCTGGTAGCTGCAGTGGCCTTTCCCCTCGGTCCAGCTTTGGTACCTCTAGTGCTCGATTTCCTGGGTGGGCGCAGCTGGGCTTCGCCTACGGTGAGTAGCTTACTATCTCTTTACTGCCTTTATATACCATTCTTGGCTTTCAATGGTATAAGTGAGGCATTCGTTTCTTCGGCTGCTAGTCCTTCAGAAGTTCGCAAACAGGCACTATGGATGGGAGTGTTCTCAACTTGTTATGTTTCAGCAGCGTACGTATTCTTAGTTGTCGGTGATTTGGGTGCTCAAGGGATGGTCTATGCCAACATCGTCAATATGGCGGTTCGTACTATCTGGAGCTTTTTATTCATTCGGTCATTCCTACAACGTTGCACCTTGGCATTAAGGCCATCCGAGTTCCTTCCCCGGCCCCAGACTTTTCTGGCTGGCATCATGATATCGACAGCTTTTATGAGAAATGGATCCTACAGGGTCAACTCTAGAGATTTTTCAGGCACCTTGATTTATAGCGCTATATACATTATATTTGTGTAAGTCTCTATGCATCTTCGAACTTTTCTGAACCCGACCACTAATTATCATGCACACGGCCAGGTTGTATGCTGAGAGAAAATACTTGCTAGCACAATGCACCAAAGCCAAAGAGATCTTGAGATCTGGATGCAAATACAAACGAGGTTGAAAGTCTCATTGTCAATCATCAAAGACAATCTTGGTTGCTGCTTTGCTCGAGTCAACGTCTTTGAAAAATGCACCATAGGCATCATGTTGCTTCTTCTTGACCGTCGAGCCGAACTTGAGAAGGGATTCTGGTACATCCTGCTTGGCTGCTTTGAGCACGTTGATCAACCTGCAACCCATTAGCCCCGCAAAAAGAATTATGACATAGGAAAATATCTCCGAATTCGCATGCACTGGAAGACTACTCACCCTCCAGATTGAGCCTTATCCAATTCAGTGAACAGAGTAATTGCATGGCCCTCAGCCCCCGCACGACCGGTTCTTCCGGAAATGTCAGCTAAGTTTCCGACAGCCGTCTTTACCAGGGGCAAGATCACTTACCGTCCGATTCGATGTACATAGTCTTCGACCGTAAGCGGGAATGTGACATTGATAACAAGTTTGACAGCAGGGATATCAAGTCCACGAGCTGCCACATCAGTGGCGACAAGGACGGTAGCAGTGCCACTCTTAAAAGCCTCTAGGCTTTTGAAGCGCTCTTGCTGGCTGAGGTCGCCATGTATTCCTGCAACCTTAAAACCCTTATTCCGTAGAACTCTCTCCACACGAACAGCTTCCTTCTTATACAGACAAAAGACCAGGACTTTCGGGGGTTTGGGAGCCCTTTGACTTTGATTGAGTAGCTGTACAAGCCTTGGCTCTTTCTCATGTGGCTGTATGACCTCAACCTCCTGTTTGATTCTCGTATTCGCGCGAGGATCGGCAGATGGATCTCCGCCGATGGTAACAGTGACAGGCGTTTTCATGAATGTGGTAGCAAGATTTCTGACAACTGGAGGCCATGTTGCTGTGAACATCACAGTTTGTCGTTTTGACTTTGACATGGGATGGATGATGTCCTTGATATCTTGTTCAAACCCCTTGTCCAACATACGATCGGCTTCATCCAAAACAAGGTACTTGACCTTTGAGAGATCGACCGAGCCGTCATTTTGAAGATCCTTCAATCTACCCGGGGTTGCGACAACAATGGGTGCAGTCTTCAGAGCTTCGCGCTGTTCATCCTTTGGGACTCCGCCAAAGATGCAAGTTACTTCCACACCCAGTGGTTTCGCGAACTTCACAAGCTGGTCATGAATTTGTTTAGCCAACTCCCTAGTTGGTGAAATCATGACCGCCATGGGCTGACAAGGCTTTTTATTGCACTTCCTCTTCGAATCTTGTAACTTCTTGAGGCATGGCAATCCGAAAGCGAGGGTCTTACCACTACCAGTCTCAGCAATACCAATCACATCGCGACCAGCGAATAGCAAGGGCCAAGTTGTTGATTGAATGGCAGTCGGAGAGGTGAAAGAACCAAGGGGATCGTAGAGTTTGCCGTCGCAGGGAGGAAGATATGAGAAAGACATGATAGGCCGAAGATTTGCAGCATCTTTCGAGGTGTCGGTCACTTTGATTGTGTTCTCGGTAAGAAAGTGCTCTATGTCTGATTCTGGCAAATCGCTCAATGCGCGCGACTGGACGTATTTCGGTTCGTGCCCTGCGATATCCTCGGATTTTTCCGTAGCCTTCGAAGCATTCTTTTCTTTTCTCGACTTTTTCTTCAGTCTGTGCTCCGTTCGCTCCTCTTCATACTCGCGTTTAGCCATGATTCAGGGTTTCACACAGATGATATCTGAGAAACGAGAAGTCGCATGCACTCAGAAACCTAATATGGTTTATCTTGCCTTCGGCCCAGGAATTTTTTTTTCCTCTTTTTTGCCGGGGCAGTCAATCTGATTGCCGGCTGATTCGTCGGAGAAACGTACCCCATGAAGCAAAGTGGATACTGAGGTAACTATCGGCTTTTGACTGATTGGTCTGATCCCTTAATATTATCGCCTTATCTGAAAATCTTCAAGGTCCCACGTTGGCGCGGACCATCTACATTCTACACCGTGGACTACTGAGGTACTGTAGACTCCTAGAGGCTACATTATTGTCTAAGTTAAAGTTCGGTACTATAGTACATGAGCAGGTAGATCTCGGACTCTCCGAGAGACATTCACTCGTACACTTGTCGCGGCTTAGCTCAAACATTCTGTAGTTAGCTAGCTTAGCTAGCTGTACATGCCAGCTGGTACAGTGGGAGGAAAGGAGTTTGCACCCCCCCTGTTTGGCTTACGTACTGCGCTAGCTATCACCGCCTTCTTTATTTTGTCCACCGGACAGTTAGCAAAGGAAATAAGTGGCTTCTATAAGAGTTCTGCTGGCAGATTCACGGATACACTATGTCTAGGGAGGCTAGCGGACTAACTATTGCAGGGGGGGGGTGCAAACTCCTTTCCGGGGACTGTAGCGCCTGCTTCTGATTCTGTGGCAGGCCAAGCCAACAATCATGAATATGACTAGTTCAAGGTGCAGATGATCTTCCCTTTCGTCTGGTTGCTCTCAAGTAGCCTGTGAGCATCTGCAATATCCTCAAATGAAAAAACCTTCTCCACATAAACTTTGAAAGTTCCGTCCTTGAATCTTGGTAATGCCTGATTAACCAAGAGATCACGCAATTTCTTTTGGTATTGTTCGTCTCTGCTCCGTAGCGTGCTGCCCTCGAACCTTATCCGCTTCATTAAAATGCCACTAATGTCAACATTACCAGGGAGTATTGAGCCACTCATTTGTCCCAGCTGAACAATGTGAGCGTCTTTTGCCGCCACATTCAGATTGCCCTGGAAGTGTGTCGCACCGACAAAATCGATTATAACATCGACACCACGGCCCTTTGTCGCATTCAAGATCTCCGAATCCCAATTCTGATCCCTGTAATTATAACCAGCAGTAGCACCCAGTTGACCGACGCAAAAGTCGAGCTTCTCCTTAGAACCAGCAGTTACATAAATCTCCGATGCACCACTGTTTCGAGCAAGCTGGATTCCGGCTATCGACACTGATGATGCTCCAGCATGCCAGAGAACGGATTTGCCTGGCGTGTGACCACCGATCAAATAAAGAGCTTGACATGCCGTGATCCATGTCTGTAGGTATGTTCATGTTAGACGAAGGGTGATTATCCGGGGAGACACTTCAATCTACCTCGGGTATTCCTGCTGCTTCTATCCAAGTCATATCGAGAGGTTTATGTATCAACATATTCGTCGATACAGCGATGTACTCAGCATATGCACCTGCAAGACACTGATTAATCATGTCAAAAATCATTTTAAAGTCTCACTTACCACCATACGCCAAGCCGAAAACCTCATCGCCTATCCGAAAGCCATTGCAATCGGCTGCTCCGAGTTCCTCGATTACACCAGAGAATTCTACCCCCATGGTGCTTGGAGCCTGCGGCGGAACGGGGTATTTGCCCTCGCGCTGCAATAGATCCATTCGGTTCAAACCGAAGGCCCTGATTCTGATCAAGGCATCGCCACCTTTCAGCTTCGGAGTGGGGATCTCTTCGATGAAAAGGGCATCAACATTGCCTTTCCCGCCGCGAACGCCTATTTATGATCGTTCAGACTCAATCGGGATCAAAATATGAATTCTCAGTGGTCCTTACTGATCGCTCGCATAGTGGTACTGATACGCAGTCAAGTACTTGATAGCAAATAAATTCGATTGAATACCCCAGAAGGAGATTCGACTGGATAATTATTCGACCTGGTTAGTAACTGCTCAATCAGGTGTTAGTTATCAACACCGTCACGTTACGCATTTGTCAGCCACAATGGCAGATTAGTCATGACGACGTAGTAGAACTAGAAGTACTCATAGTCACGGTGCAGATGTTACTCTACTGGTGCGCAGGGAATGGGACATATATTGTAATAGGAATTGATCACATATACACAAGGGTGGATGCAGATGCTGGCATTTTCAAGCCCGGCGCGGGCACGTCAGTTATCCTCATGATGAATGAAAGCACAATGGCAAATTCAAGGTGATTAACAGGCTGATTTACTAAAAGCAAATCAGAGTAGTTTATCGGTGTGATCATGAATATTTTCAAGACAAATTATACGAGTCAATTTGTTCTGCTAGGCGAGAAGCCTCCTCAGAGTAGTTGATTGCTCTGGCCGATGATACCTGGTATCGAACTCTAGAAACCCGAGGGAGAGATAGAATCAGTCACCGATTGCGCTAAATCAATGAAAGAGTAAAACTTACCGCTGCTGATCACCGAAGTGATCTATCTTAGCCCTGCATCGGAAATTCCACGTCCGGCAGTTAGCATCTTGAAACAGTTCACCCGCTGCTCTCTCGTCTGCCTGTCGCAGCTCCATCAACTGGTCTGCCGTAGTGCCCATCATATGTCTTCCCACATCATCAAAGCAGCTCAACCAAAGTTGACCAGTATGGTCGCTAACATTGACAAGCATTATGTAGCGATATTCTGGTCGCGAGTGTGTCTTATCACACCGCTCGCAACGCCATTGACCAGGATCAAGCTCCGTCACTTTTTTATTGCAGCCTTCTGAAAGGCAGGCGGGGTAACATATGTTGTCTTGCTTTATGTAGATGACAGTCGCCTTTAGTGAAAAGTAGACTGCCTCGTCGGACATTCCGAGTTGCTCTTCCCGAACTTGAGCTATGGTCTTGAAGTGATCGGGCCTTGCGGCGGACATCGCTGTACCCGACATTGAGGCATGCGACGTGAAAACACCATCCCTTCCCTGCGCATCATACCAGCCCTTAAGCTTGTGAGCTTCTTCGATATCAGGGTCTACTGTTATTGAACCTGAACTCAGCAGACTCAGACTTCGCCCTCCAAAGTCGGAAACCTTGACACCCTTGAATGCCATCACTGACTCGGGTAAAGTGTTAAAATTCAGTGCCGTATTGCCCCAGACAGTTAAACGAACTGAGTACCC